GCATTCCTCTTTTTAAAATGATGCATAAGTAGCCACTCTCACAAAGTAAATTAAGGCAGAGCAATTTAAGTGGATACTCCGTATGCCTTTGGTTCCAGGTTTCTCTAGGTAGATTCTATCTAGTGGTGTTAAGGGTTCATCATCATCACAGGCATCCTTCAGTCTCAAAAGACTATGGTAAGATGATCTGAATTGATGAGTGTCCTCTCCAGAGTAACTCAATTCCAATTGGCTGGAAGACAGACAGTGGTGTGGATTACTGTTCAGTAACCTTTAAATGGGCATGTCCCAGGACCCTGGGCCTTTTCCCCTAGGAAGCTGGGCTGAGGCTGAAGGCCAGGTGTGTTTGCATGGACATTTTCCTGAGTTTTTTCCCCTGTGTTTTCTTTTTGTCTCCCCCACCACATGGCCTGGAGGTGGGGCCTAGGGGGTGGGGGCTTTCTGCTTTAAATGAGCGTGTCCCAAAAATTCTCAAATTCTCTGATTCTATCTCTGGTCCTAATATGGTAAACAGGAAAGCCAATTAGATTTGCATACACCTGGGAGGCAGGAAAGTTCTAAGGGTTGGATCATACTTCCGCACTATTAAAGAGCAGGCCGGGTAGGTGGGGCTCATCAGCCTTGGAAGGCAGCCCATCTAGGAGAAGGAAAACTCTGACTTCAAACCTCCACTGCCTTGCGGCTATATCCACTCATGGAAAAGACTTCAGGAGTTAACCTAGAGGCAAAATCCAGAGGCGGAGTCACGAAGGCAGTTCGTGTCGTTCTGCCAATTCCTGTGACGTTGCTGGAACCAGTTGTATTGGCTCTTGCCTTTCCATTGGACCATTTCAGCAACGTGGAGAGGGGGGATCTGCTGCTTGGGTAACAGCCTATCCTCTATATTACTTTGCCCAAGCTTCATGCTCTGGAGAGGTGTTAAGGGAGAGTTCCTTGATCGAGGCGCATGTGCGAGGGGTCCCATAGGGCTCCTTTCTCACCTCATGCTCTTGAACACCAATATAAAGCTGCCGGGCAGTAGGGGCGTCTGGTCTGCATTGTGGCTAGTGGGGTAAAGACAAAACAGCCAAAGGTGTAGGAAGCCAGGGGTATGAAAGGCAAACTGTGGCAAGCAGGTTGACTGGCTGGCATACAGGCATACATACACCACGAAGTGACCACATGTGGCATTCTGACCCTCACTTTCTGGTAAGGAGGTAGGAATGACTGGACTGGCAGGGGATTGCCTGGAACTGTGGACGGATCATGCCACATGTGCCTTCATGGACCTGATATCATCAGGTGGGAAAGAAATGTGTTGCGTTCACATTTTCTTAGAACAGTTAGACCACTGCAAGGCTGAACTGTTAGGCCATTGCAAGGGCCAAAGGGCATATTATCTCAGAAATATATATGTTTTTGTTGCTGCAATACATTTTGATGAAGAAAAATGTGTACAAACCATGTGCATATCCAAAATGTGCACAAATACATAATTATTGGGGGATGCATAAAATGCTTAAAAACACTTCTAAAAAGGTGCAGAAATGAATAGTTTTAGGGGACGTGTGCCCCAAAGTATGCAGGACTTTCCATGTGGTAAGAAGGATGAAATGTTTTTGGTGGAAGAGAATGAGAACTGCCCATGGAATGCAATGAAAATGAAACGAACAGTTTCCTGCATCCCTTCGGAGATTTTACAGGGATTTGGAGTGAGCTGCCACCAGGATGCGGATGACGCTCAGCTCACTTTCTCCTTGTCATTGAGAAAAGTGAGGCAACCGGTAAAGGTCTTGACTAGAGATGGGCACGGAACTGAACTATGAACCAGAAAAAAAAATAATGAACTGGGCTGGTTTGTGGTTTAGTTTATGCAAGCTAATTTGCTGAAATGAAGTGCCAAACCTCTCTCCACTCGGTCCTTCATTTCCCTTCCACAGAATGGATGCCTCCCCCTCCCCCTGCTCCCATCACTCCCCCCCAAAACCCAAAAAATGAACCACGAACCAGCTCAGTTTGGGGGTGTGTGTGATAGTTTGTGGTTGGTGGGTAGCCGGAAACCACAAACCATCAAGAACCACTGGGTTTCCAGTTCATCCCCATTGCTAGTCTTGACCGACGCCCTGGATGAAGAAACAGAAAGGATGAGCGGGCATGATCTAAATCTGTATTCTGATAAAGTGGAATCACTGTGGATAGATGATGATTCTCTGGATCCCATTTTGGCCCAGGCTGCCTCATGTAGGAAGACATGCTCTTTGATGTGTTGAGGTCTTAAACTCCTGAGGACATTACAGGAGTCAAGTCAATTGACTACTCTAGGTGGCTTCCAACATATATAATAAAACAATATAAAATACAGTATAACAACATTATAGGCATCAATAATCAAATTATTCCAGCTGGAAAGAAATGAGAGAAAGTAAATAATAACTGAAAGGATGAGCAGGCATGATCCCAGGTATCATCTCAGCCCTAAAGCAAACTGGCAACCTAGTGCTGTAGGCCCTGGTACTAGTCCTATATGCATAAACCAGGCCCTATCAGCCACAACATGGGCAGTCCCATTCTGCCCCAGCAGAAGCTTCCAACTTTCCTTCCATTTCTCTTCAAGAGCATCTCCGTACCTGTGCAGAGCAGCAACGAAGGTCCTCGACCAAGTCCAGATGACCCCTGTCCTGAACGCCACTGCAGGAGGACCTCTTGAACTGACCAAAAAATACCCCATGCCATTGGGCCTCTAGTGACAAAGCTGGGTCTGGGTGTAGCCCGAACTAGACACTCTTCTAGGAATGCACCCCTGTCCAGAACAAGGCAACCCAAGGCAATTAAATAGGCTGTAAGAAGATAATCAGAGTATGCTGTCATCATACACCTCTCCCCAACATAGAAAGCTTTAGGTCATGGCACTCTGTGCTCATACTCTGCTGGCTCTTAGCACCAGTAAAGCCCTAAATGGCTTGGGTCCAAGCTATCTAAAAGACTGCCTCTCCCTGTTTGAGCTTGCCTGGGCATTAAGAGAATCAGGAGAGACCCTTCTCTTGGTTCCACCACTCTCACAGATGTGTCTGGTGCGGACACGGGAGAGGGCCTTCTCTGTGCCTGCTCCCAGACTCTGGAACTCCCTCCCACAAGAGGCCAGACTGGCCCCATCTTTGCTGTCCTTCTGCAAAGTAAGCAGAGACCTTCCTCTTCAGGCAGACGTTTCCTTTGTGACGGGTGGTCTGAGAGGTTTTTTAAATAGATTGTTGTGCTCTGTTGTTTTAATTGATATTGATTTTATTTACCATTTTAATACTTGTTTAATACCATAATGATACTTGCTTAATTCTTAATAAAATATTTTATACTTTTTTGTTTTTAACTTTTAAATATCATCATTTTAATGACTTAAGTTACCTTGGGTCCTTTTAAAGATAAAGGGGAGAGGGATAAAACTATTTTAAATAAATAAAATAAAAAATATATGTATATATTTTGGTATGCAAATAACCTTTGGGTGCTTTATCCATACAGTTGTATTAGCTCTTCAGAGTGCTATGCCCAAGACTCCTTGTTTTGGCAGGTGTAACTCTGTAGATCTAACCAGTCAAGCAAGCCATGATGATTTCCAAAAAGAGATACCTGACTTTGCACACCTGGGTTTCCTTTGTAAAACTTATCAGGAAGTGTCATGTTATCCCAGCCTTTCTGTAGCAGGCGGAGGGGTAATTCTATGCAAATGATGGGGTGGATGGGTTTCCACTGCCTTGTGAAATGGGCAGACCTGGTGTTTCCTGCAGTCAACATGCACTGTTCCACCAGCAGAAAAAGACCTTTGCTGACAATCTAAAACACACATGGGACTTGAACAGCCTGTAGGCTGTATATGATCCCCCAAGACCCTTGGAACATCTCTTGAGGATCTGGTAAAAAAATCCCAGTTGCCAGAAAAATGAGGGGAATGAACAACCATGATCCTCTTGAATGCTGTTTACATGACCTTTTCCTGGCCTGTTGCTGGAAATATATTAATAGCAGTTAAAGTGGGAGCACCAAAGAGCTGTATACAACCAAATGCATGCCCAAAGATCTCCTTCGGTGTCTTCAGGCAGTTAAGGGTTAATGTATTCCAGTCTGCCCCAGTTGGGAACTTTGCAGATGACCTGAACTAAAACTCCCACCGGCTTCAGACACCATGGGGAGGAGGGGTGGCAATGCTGGGAGTCCTAGTCAAACACATGGATAGGAAACAAAGCATGGGCCAGACCAACTGGTGGGACCTCTGGGCCAAACAGCACAGCCGCAAGTACCACAAAAATTATCTTTATTTTCTTGATGGGTATCAACAAAGGTGTACAGTACTTTTCAACTCTTACAGTGCATCTTTTATTTCCTCCATGTCACAGTAGCAAACCCACCCACCCCCAAAAAAACCCATCAGTTTTTTCCAAAGTGCCTTTTACATTCATTTCCTTGCCAGGATTGTGCAAATTTGAAGGATCAAGAAGAAATAAAAAGAACAGTACATAGAAGATGCAAGATCCAGTGTTTCCAGTGTTGCCTGCTGACTCACCATTGATGCTGGAAATACCCCCTCTCCCCTCCCGCCTCCCCCCTTCCTCTGCTGGATTGCTCCCAGTGCAATAGTTTCAGCCCTTACAACTTCCCTTACCCTTGACACTGGCTGTGCTGCCTAGTGAGCAACGGGAGGCTGCAGCCTAACAGTAAATGGAGATCCAAGCTTGGGAAGTGCTAGCCTTACATGTGGACCTTTGATCATTTACTCTAGAGTAGTACCAGACAGGTCCTTTAGTATCGCATTACTCTCTTTGCTGTTCACATTCTCATTATTTAACGATTATACATTCCATTTCTTAATACTGATTTGGTTAATATACATGCAAACAAATCTCCCCCTACCCGTTTTTCATCTCATTATGCGTATTTAAATAGAATGAACACCAGAGGGCAGCAAAAAACAAAAACGAGACAATATATTTCATTTTTTTTAAAAAAAAGCTGATAAATATAAATAAATTAATGCAATGGACATATTTGTTTCAAAAATTGGCTTCCTCTCTTCTTCCATTAATGGGAGAAAAAAAGATGAGAATGGGCACAATGATAACCGTTTCAATGTAGAAAAATATTTTTTCTAAATATCTGAGGTAATTAAGGCTGAAGAAACTCAAAAGCAAGGTCAAAAGGTTTTGAGGTTTCTTCCCATATCCCTTTCTTAAAAAATAATGTTATAATTCTTTTTCAAATCAAATATTTGTATCAGATCTTTGACATATAACTACCACACACACAGACAGACAGAGAGATTCACAATACACACAAACACGTTTCCTGCTAAAAAATGTATGGATAAAAAAATAAATGACATATTTCTTTTCTCCCAAAATTGAAAAAATAAATAAAAGATCATCGCAATTTCACTCAAATGACAGAAAATAACTTAAGGGTGTTGTGTATTTAATGTCTCTCAGAAATCCCAGAGGATTGTGCAAAAAGAAAAACGGAAACTCTTATTTCCAAATCAAGTCCATGCCTTGGCAATGTTATTTTTTTCTGGACTGCAACTCCCATAAAGCCCCAGGCAGCTATGCGATGCTGGATGGGAGAATGTGGGAGCTGTAGTCTCAAGAAGTCATTTCTAAGCTCTGATCAAGTAAGTCTTCTGCAGAAAAACGGTTAGTGCAACAATTGTGTGATTCAGACATCACTGGGAGATCTGGATCGGAAAGGCATGGTGGAAGAGATGCACCCACAACAGATAGTCCAGAGCACTTTCTGGATTTCTTGGTTCCTGAAGGCATAGATCACAGGGTTGATCATGGAATTATAGGTAGCAGGGAGCACAGTCATGTAGGTGTAGAGAGCAGGGTAGGTGTAATCCCCCAGGAGGCAGTAAATGGCAAAGGGCAACCAACAAGAAGCAAAGGTCCCTAGGATGACAGCCAACGTGGAGATCCCTTTCCTGGTGGTGACGTAGTGGGAGGTGGCCAAGAAGTGTCTCTGGAGGGCAATCTGCTGGGCGTGCCGGCAGACGATCTTGCAGATTTGCACATAGAGCTGCAACATCATAGCAAAGACCATGAAGAAAGAGATGGAGAGGATGATGAGGTTGTTCTTGGTCAAGGGCTTGACGATGCTGCAGCTGGTGGTGTCTTTCAAGCAGTTCCACCCCATCACAGGCAACAGCCCAAAGCAGATGGAGACTCCCCAGGTGAGGATCAGCATGATGTATGTCCTGGTGACGGTCCTTTCCGAATAATAGGTCAAGGCGTTGTAGAGGGATAAGTAACGGTCTATGGTGATGGCGAGGAGGCTACCCACGCTGGCGGTGAACGAGCACACCAGGAGGCCCACCGTGATGAGATCCACCACTTCAGACTGGATGCAATAAACAAAGGCAAAGTGGAAGATGAGGCCCAAGCCGGCCAAGAGGTCAGCCGTGGCCAAGCTCCCAATCAGCAGGAACATGGGTGTCCGGAAAGTGGGCGTGTAGAAGATGATGGCCACCACAATGGCATTCTCGCAGGAAATGATCGTCCCGGAAACACAAAGCACCACATCCCAAGGGTTCAAGGGAAGAGGAGGGGCTTCAGAGAGATACAGGGAATCGCTGCTGGCATTGTTGGACACAAACCAGCCGGGCTGTTCTTTGGTAGAGTTAGGGGGAACTTCCTCTTTCATGCTGTCCACCTGCAAAGGCAGAAGAAAAGCTCACTTAGCTCACTGTCCACCTGCAAAGGCACAAGAAAAGCACATCGAAGACACCACCGGAATCCATCGGTCTCATAAACATATATGTCCCTGAATAAGGGAGAGAAGGAGCGAGCTGCCAGCATTTCTGCTGCTGAAAATCAAGGAGAAAGCAGACTGCTAACTATTTTAGCTGAATGGGTTGGGAGGGAGTGCCAATTAATTGCACACGACCTGCCCTGCACCTGCCTTCCGCCGGCTTCTTATCAATGGCCCCGGATGGGATATTTTTGTCTGGGCCTGCCTTTTTTTTTTACGCCATCGTCTTCTCCCCACCCCTTCAAATAAAGCCGTCAAGATAAAGGAGGGAGTATAAGCCAGCTCTCGGTGGTCATATGCTTCCTCCTATTACGTCACTATTTTGTACTTTGCAGGTCATTCTTTCTTTCCATCTGCATCCCCCACCACCACCACTGGGCTCTCTGAAACCACTGACTTTTTTAAAAAAAAAACGTACATGGAAAAAGGAGCCTCTGCAAGGGAAATGAAACAATGGCAGGTAGTAAGGGTAAGCCACAATTCCTGGGATTACAATTTGGCTATCCAGGCATCACTTGCAGCCCAGAGGCTTGGTCCTTGCTCATCAAGACTCTCCTGTCCATGGGGATGTTTTTCTCAAAGGCAAAAGAGCAAATCTGCCCCCTTTCCACCCCATCTCCCTTTAAACTTACATTTCCCCCCCCCTTTGTTTTTAGCCAGGGTCCTTTGGGTTCCTGGCCTTCGGGTTCAACTGCAGAGTCACCCTTTTGCTCCGACCTTTGTGAAAGCACCCTTGGTGAGGAGCCGAGCGAGCATCTTTCGTCTGAGCCCGTCATGCCTTTACACAGCCTTTTCCTCTCTTTCGCCTGCCTTTCTCCCAAAGGAACGCCGAACAGCCCCATTCGGGTCCAGATCCGTTCCAAGGTGCGTTCTGCTGAGCTCCACGGGGCGCCCTCCTGGACCAGAGGGGTTTACGACCCCGGCCAAGGGCTTTCTTTTCTTTTGAGAAGAAAGTCACGTACTTTGCAAAGGTGGCTTTAAGGTCACCTTCTGCATTGGCAGTGGGGCTGGGATACCCAAGAATAAAAATAAAATATTTTTTTTTAAAAGGCAACCCTTCCCGGGGATGTCAAAGAGGCCGGAGCTACTCACCGTGGTTGCTGCGGTTCCAGCGGTTCCAGCTGCACATCAATAGGGGCAGCTCCTTCGGCGGCGGGGCTGGGGTCCCTCTGCCCGGGCGTCCGGCGGTGGAGAGCAGGCGTCCCCCCTCTCCTCTCCTCTCCTCTCCTCTCGGCGGCGCAAGGGGGATCCGGGTCGGGCTGCGCGGCGGAGGGTCCCTCGCAGCTGCACCAAGCGAGTGACTCAGGGCGGGCTGGCTGC